ATTAGTCATTAAATCATTGATCAAATTGATCATAAAAATATTATATATTCTTGCAATATAAGATATAGATTTATTTGGTTTATATTGGATTAGATAATATTTAAAATTATAGAAGTTGGCATAGGTACTTTCCGTACTCTACTTCCCAAAATATGTATAATATTCAAAAACAATAATGTAATTAAAGTCATACTTCAAATATGATGTGATCGGTTTGCCATTGTAATTAGCATTTAGAAATGAACATTTATTAGAGAAATGAAGTAATTGCTGATTAATAAATTCTATAATATTCGTTCACACAGTGGATTATGTTAAACAACGTCTAAACAAATATTGTTTTCGCAACTTCACTCATCATATAATTGTGTTTGAAGAACTTCATGTAATTAAAATTAACATACATTCATTGACCGCTTGTATTTTTTTTTACTTTTTCGCTGGCGATATCTCATTCTTTGAACAGCGGTAATACCTGTCTTGCCTAGAAATTATTTTCTATTTTAATAACTCCAAACATTTATAAAAACTACAAATAATATAGAAAGAGTTCCTAATCAGTAAACTTACTAATCATTCATCTTATCAATAAATATTTTCAAGGAACAGGGTAAAATATTATTCTGATTCAGGCATTTTTCATTAAATCAAGATTTGTACTACGAAGTAACTTTAAAATGTTTATTTATCTATGCTGATTTCCTAGTTGATATCGGAACGCATACAACGTTGATACCGGTACGCATACAACGACAGATCTCTATTCACATACACGACGACTAATCACAATCGACCCGTATAGAAATGATTTCATCGAAAGCGAATGACGCACAATTCTGCCGTAACGCATTTCCGTTGCATTTGTACGGATTTACACCCTAGTCGCGCCTATAGAAGTTTTACTTAAAAAAAATCATGTAAGTAAACTATATTTTTATATCTTTGTAATAAAACTAAAAATATTAGGCACGAATATATTTAAAGAAACGCTTCAAACATTATGGCATATGCGACGGCAGTAAGTCTGACGTAAAACAAAGATAAAGCGGAAAGCTAGAATAATATTTTGAAATTTATTCTTTCTCTGGAAACAAATATATAAAATTCAACAGTCGCTAAAGGCTTTTATTAAACTCGCACCATGTTCTATAAAAACATTTATCGCCTTTGTCAGAGTAGTACCTAGCACGGGCGGGCGGCGAGGCGGATGTGAACATCACTAAATCTTAAATAATTCGCTGAGTGAACTTATTGCTTTGAGCAAAGAGCACATAATAATGGAAGAGCTGGTAAAAAAATCGAAAATTATATATAAAATAAAGAATATTTGTTATTAAAAAAAACAATATTTATTTTTCAGAAACCGTCACAGTTACCACAACTTACTGTTATGGCCGTTGTTTTTTTTTTCATATATAATTGTACACAACACTGTCAAAAGTATTTGCAGTGCAGTCAGACGTTTTAGATGTAAAACCTAACCTAGAATACGCACAAACGTCAAAAAAGAATATTATCGCAACTGTATCTTTCTGATGTGTCATAAAAATATATGCGAGAAGTTAGATTATATGAGCAAAATGCCTGACTGCACAGCAATTACATAGCATTTCAACAGTTTTTAGTGCAATTTTATATTAAAAAGCAGCATAACATAGTGTTGCCATAACATTCGTCTGTTTTACGGCAGAATTAGTTCATAAATGTAAAAAGCAGCTAGTTCAACTCAAATTTCAAAGTTGATAAGTATATTTAATTATATTAAATTATAGTTGATTTTTATTTATCAAATATTGATTGAATAAACTCATGGATATTTTTTAATGATATATTGTACTATAGCCAACTAGAAATAAAATAACTGGTTTCTCTTAATATCAGTTATCTTAATAATCAAAAATGAAAACTAGAAATACAGTGTATGGAATATCAATTTATATAAATCCATAATTTTTTTTGCCCAGTGATATAAAAATGAATACACTAATTATTACAAGCATTCTAGATATCTTCTGATTATTATCAATTGATAAAATAAATTATATCATAGTTATATCAGAAAATGATTTTAAAAATTTGAAAATCTTGGAAATTGGCAGGTACTTTTCATCATATTTAATAATTTGGTTTTTTTTTTTATAAAAACTTCTCATTCGATTTTTTAATGATATTAATTTTTCCGTAAGATGAGTAAATTATAGTGAACATCGAGAGACGAAATTAATAGTTTTAAATTTTCAATAAATTGAGTCTAAAAATTATTGAGAAGAAATGCCTCCCATTTCTTGAAAATTGATTTTAGAAATTTAAAACTCTGAAGGATATCGAGATGGTGATAAACTGTTAAATGAGACTTGAATTTACATATGACTTTTTTACTTTCAATAGAAATTAATATCAAGTTTGTTTAAGATATATTAACAATTAATCGTGTAAATATGTTTGCTTAAAAAGTGGACGAACTGTTTTTTCAATTAGTATATTTTGTTAGTGCTAGAAACTGGAAATGTATCTAGCTCATTTTTTCATTAACACACAGTTAGAAGATTGATGTAAAATCTAATCTAATACCAAAATATTGTGTCAAAAAACTAACATTCTTGTATCGAACGGTCATTTTATAGATGACGTTAACTGAGCTAATAATTTTGTACAACAAATGGACGTGTGCAAGCAATTCAATGCAATATTTCTAGTTTATTTTTAAATAAGAATTTACGATCTATAATTCAACCTACAAAATAAAAATTGGTCTACAAAAGTTTGCCTTTATTCGGCGCGCGCGGCTGGAATATAATACTATGAAATATTATACTTCGACCCGTTTGCACTAAATTTTATTATAACATCAAAAGGTTGAAAACTACAACGCTTTGTAAAATTTAATTGGGTTTCCGTTCAATTTTAACAAGCAATTCCTGTGAATCAGTGAATGGAAACATGCGTGGTACGAGTGTTGACAACGAAAGTTCATATGCATTAGATAATTTTTTTTTATGAGAATCATATAGTTCGGGTAACCAGAAAAACATCATCAATTCGTGAATATCAAAATATTTGAAATTTGCTATTATAAATTTGAAAATAATTTCATGTAATACACTTAGTCGAATGTAAAAGTCGTGTTACTGTAAAAATAGTTACATGTAACTCTAAAAAGCAGAGTAGCATAAAATACTAAGATAAGAAATAATTTTTAATGTGTTCGTGATGATAGCAATAATTTGTTTGATTTATTATACCACATAAATAATATATAAATAAATCTTTTTTTCTCCCACTACTGTGATAAATTTTATTGTATATTTTCAGCATATATACTTCAAATGCTTTTAAGATGTTTTACTTAATAATATTGTTATAATTATTATGAGATGTAAACACTTTAGAAAGAGGAATTTTTTTAATGTACTTTTGATATCAGCTAGCCGTAAACTTAAATTTTTGTGTAAATATTATATATTCTTGGAACATATTTTATTATATTAATAACAAGTAAAGTTGAATAAAATAGTTTATCTTAAATACTGTTTTTTTACATGCTACGTGTATGATAAAGAGTAGAAAAAATATGTATTAATAGTTTTGTTTTTACATGAATTAAAATCATCAAATTATTTGCTACTCATTATATTTATTTAGGTTGACGAATGTATTTTCGAATTCATCAATTTGGATATATATTTACATAAAAGATATCTATAAAAAGAAAAACTACCGGGTTTTTATCTCTAGATAAAGATAATAAAAACTAAATTTATTACACTTCTACGCGATTTGGACCAAAATTGGACTGTTCTTCGACTTGAACTGTCAAATTTGTGAAAAGAAAAAAAGTATCAAAAATTGAAAAAAAAACTAGTCTCTCATCTAGATGGATTCCTGTTGAGAAGCTTTTAGATACTAAAATATGAAAATGGAAATATTGCATTACACACGTACAATTATATATATATAATTCATTGTTTTATTCCTATTTTAATCATAATTACAAAATAATTCATCTTCTTAGCTTCTATTTGAATTATTCTTACCAAAAATTGAGGAAACTTCAACTTCAAAATGAGTTTCGAATGCCAGTGCCCATCTCATGCATTTTAACTTAATTTTATCTCAAATATATTTTTTGCATATCATTACGTTTCAGAGGTTGCTGAACAATTTGGCATACCTTAGTTGTGTATATGTGTGTGTATGCAGGTGTAAATATAATTTGTCGTCTACATTTTTGGGAGTACGAATCAATTGATTTGAATGACTCAAAGAACATTTGATTCCTATTGATGGGGAGTCGTGCTAATTAGATTTTTGGCAAAGACAGATCCAGCCGTTTAAGAATGGAGCATAATTTGCAGATATTGAAATTCAGTTTTTGCGAGAACTAGGCATCCGATTAGAATGATTCAAAAAATATTCGATTCCTAATGATAGGAAGACGAGCTGATATTACTATATATAAATTTTCAAAGGCAATTTAAGTCGTGGAACAAAAAGTGCAAAAAATAGCAGTAATTAAGAGAACGGATGAATAAATATTTGCTTGTGTTGACATGATTTGTTTTTGGAGAAAGCAAAAAAAAATATTTCGAAATTTCAAAAAAAAAATTGTAATTTTCAGAACATTTTGTGTAAATATCTAGAACTTTGATTTTCAATTTTAATTCAGGCTAAAAACATTTAGAATTTCCAATAAATTTACGGAACAGTAAATTCCAGCGATTTTCCAGCACAATGCCATCATAAATAAATATATTATGTAATACCTATACTAGCACATTTGTCTACAAAACATACATAGTTCAAAAAGGCAACAAAAACTAAAATATCTACAATAGATCTGCAAGAAACATGTTCTTTTTTAATGAACACTCAATTTGTTTTTCACGAGAAGTTTTCTGGAGCATCAACCAGCTCTAAGATTATAAAAACAGCGACAATGTGCAAAAAGTATAGAGCTCGGAGTGGAAAAGAGTAAAGGAATAAAGGAATAAAGGAAATACCTCGTTTGGCAGCATGGAAACTGTCCTGTGGCGAGATGCGTTCCACTTGAGCGAGCAGCTTCGGACGCTGCAATATCGTGCGGTCCGCGTTTATCTTCTCGACTGCATATCGGAAGGCGATCTCCTGGGCGTGATCCGCTGGATGGAACAGACCACCTGAAAACGACAGAAAACGAACACGTTATCAAAATTACTTTCACAATCATATAATATAACCCTTTTCCAGGCAGTCGTCTAATGGACAGGGCTGGAATTAATATCTTCAAAATATAAATTGGATACAGATAGTATATTTTACTACTTCCAAATAGTTTATGAGCCCAACCGCAACTTCCTGTCGATAAGGGTTAACATTTCTAAGCCTGTATACATAAAATGATATAGCCCTTTTGCAGGTAGTAAATGATGGACAGTCTTCGAAATATTGTAGTGAAGTTATTATAATTTTGCAATAAAAGAAGCAAACCATTACTTCCATGTGGTAAGAGTTTACTATATATATATATATATATATATATTAGGGCGGGTCTATTTAAAAGTCACTTCGGCAAATATGATTTTCGGATTCTAGGGATCAAAATAAGATACTTTGCTGAAAAAACCATATGTTTCAAATAAATTCTGAAGTCCCGCGCATTGATCCGATCCATGGATGGATCGGTCTTACAAAATTAATAAAAGTTAACCACAAAAATCTAAAGAACGTCATCATTTTGCCAAAGCTCTAAGTTGCACTTAAAAGCTCATAATTTCCACAATTTCACAATGTGAAATAATTTTTTTCAGAATAGTTACTAGACTAGTTACCGGTTTAGGCCTGACGCTAAGGTCTGGTTCACCTTGTATATAAATATAGATATATTATGTATTAACAAAGTAGTAATCGAACATAACATCAATAAAAAACCTATTTTTTTTCAAAAATTTATTTTCCGTCCATACATTTCGACTATAATCCTAGCCTTTATTCAGTGGAAACTAAAAATAAAGTGAAAAATTAAAACAATTGAAATGGAGTGAAAAGAAAAAAATTAAAAGAGTAAATTGTACTTACAATTAGTTGATCTTAGTAGTAAATTAGAAGATTAAATAATCCATTGTATCAGGATATGGTAATGCACTACACTATGTAATATAAACATTAAACTTGTAATTCAACAATATTTTACAAAATACTAATTTTAAAAAAGCACAAATAGATAGTGTGTAACATATGTGGTGTTCGTGGTCTGATTAAAGATATAATGGAGAAAAAACTTTTTAAAATATTTTTACCAAGATTCTACACATGTGTGGAATGAATTGCGAATTCTTTGCGCTAATGAAGGCCAGGATTATAGCCAAAACATATAGATGTAACATAAGTATCTGAAATAAATTCATGTTTTTTATTGATGGTATGCCCTCTTAATAGACTCATAGATTCAGAATCATAATATATACATACACACACACACATATATATATATATATATATATATATATATGTGTGTGTGTGTGTGTGTGTGTGATATACTGTTTGGCTAAAAGAGGTAGATTCTAAAGAAGGCCTATAAAAAAATTCTGTAGAGTATAAACATGTAGAGCTCTATAAGAATGACGAAGATAAAATGGACCCATAAAGTTACAAATGAGGATGTATTTCAAGGCTGAAAAAAGCAAGAACAAGTGAAGCAAATACTAGTAGTTAAAACTCAGGTACAGAAAACGTTAGTAATGAAGTAAAAACATTAGAAATATGAGAACTTAATGCTGATAACAATAAATATGGTTTTTAATGAACTTTACATTATTACATTAGAAAATAAACGCTGATTGAGATAATATTTACCTATATCATTAAGCATTCTTAATGAAATTTTTACATTATCTTTAACATCATTACTCTACAAATGTGAAAACCTGACATAAAAGATGTGTTTATTGATTAAATATTAAACCTTCTATTTATTTAATTTAGTTTTTCTCAAACTTCAAATTATTAAATACATTGTAATAATATTTCAAAGACGTACTTTATTCTGGTTCCGTCGTTATCACGTCTACTCAAAAGGCATTTTTAAAACCTTAATAAATATCAGTGTCTCAACTACTGGGACAAAAAATATAAATTGTTTTATACAAATATATAGAATGGTTTGCATAAATACTCAATATATGAATGCGTAGTGTTTTCAAACGCTCTTCGACACGTTTCAATTCAAATTTATGCAGAACTATTTTAATATAGAATGTTTTTCAAAATTGCTCTTTGGCATGTTTCAATTTAATTTAAAATTTGTGCGAACCTGCTTTGCCTTTTAATTTTTAGTATTCAACAACTGTCTACACTTTTATGTATATGAAATAGTGTTATTAAAATTTTTAATAATAATGATATTTTTCATTTGCTATATCAGCGAAAGTCTTATCTACTATTGCCTGATATGTCAGGCAACACAGATTTAAACCCGAAACTCGGTAATTAAAAAACTGCGCTACTGTATCCTTGTTTCTTGTTTTAAATTACAATTTACATGCAACTATTTTAGTTTTATTAAATTTGATTATTTATAATTTCATAACATACAGTTAGTAATAGCAAATATTATAACCACGAACAAAAGTAACGCAGATGAGCTCGCAATTCGCGTTGTTTTTATTCCATCTTCCGGACTCACGCAATAATTATTTTTATATTTCAAACACTATTATTTTACAAAGCTGTGCTTGTATAATCAAGTATGAGGTAACTCATGATCTGTGACAACCGTGTACATATTTTCACGATAAAATCTATTATTATTTCGGTGTGTATTCATCATTCGTTATCTATGATTGCATAACAAAATACAACCAACTTGTAGAATAAACGTTCTGTATATAATGCACTCTATGAAGACAGTTGAGAAATTCACAACGCAGAATAGAATGCGGTTAGCCTTTGTTGTCTTCTAAGAGACTCCTGTGATGAATAGTGCTCCAGTAAATTATTCTATGACTTGAATAGGTTCTAAGAATAGCGTCTCGAACCAACAGACGGACGATGTATATATGGCAGAAGTGCCAAATTTTATTTTTATTAGAAGAAATTCGAAAAATGAATGCACGACTGTATTTAATGTGCGCCTAGTCATTTGAATTGATTTGTGTATTTGTTAACGTAAATGATTGCATAATATATTACTTTTTTAATTTAAACCTAATAAATTATGGTTTTATTGCCAAATTATTTCTTCACAAAAACTTTGAACCGCTGAATCATAGCAGAAAACGTTAAAAAAATAATAAATACAATAATAACTACTATATAACACTACTATATAACAGATTTTAGGTGCAACCTTAATTACTTAAGCAATTAATGGAAAAAACCTAACCTTGAAAATTTTTGTTGTATCACATAATATAAAATGCCTCAAAGTACAAGATCGCTCCACCGTATATTTACGGATCTCGATAAGATGAATTTCACAAATATGAGTAGTTCCAGCAATTTCAATAGCTTTGTCATAAAAATTCAATGATAAAACAACTACCTGAAGTAGGTACTTATTATGTATAAGAGTAAATTCGGATTATGGTTTCATAAATAAATAAAAAATTATAAAATTGTATACTCTGATGTCATTTGATCAAAGTGATTTTCATTTTAATACAAGTCAGTGGTTTTCTTGGATTTTATAGCGCAATTTGCACACGACGGTAAACCAGCTGTCTGTTTCTGAAATACTTGGTTGAAATAGCGGTTGAAGTAGTAATTTTTCAAATTTATCCTACTTTTAACCCTGGAACCGTAAACGTTGAGATCAGTGTGCATCCATCCATGCGAATACGCCAGCGCAAAGTGAATTGCACTTCATGTTGCCTTTCAAAACAATTACAAAAGATATAACTTGTAGAAATTTTCTATTAACTCTGGTAACGTGAAAAAACATGACTATTTGTAGGTATTTAAATAATCCAACGGTTTAAGTTCGAAGAATGTCATTCGAACCATTTTACAATCTAATTACTACTCTCTCTAATAAAATTTAGTTACGATAATTGTGTACAATATTAACATTACTACTTGATTCAAAAATTTAGTCTTCAAGATTCTTTGTGGGGTACGTTTCCTAACTTTGGTGACAAACGACTCACAATCACTTTATTTGAATCACTGAGGAAACAAAAAAATTGCAAATTGGATTTTAGTTAAAACGTTTTTTTTCCGGGAGTATATTTTATTTAACATACTTGAGTAATATTTTATTTCACAAATTTCATCATTAAATTATTTCTTTGTAACCAGGTAAGTAGGAAATTGAAATTAAATTGAATCAACAATAATTGGAAATTCATTAAAGTGCCAATATAGCAATTTTATAAAAAGTTATCAGGTTTTGATAATTAAACTGAACCTAAAACCTCTTGTCGAATGACAGTATGTAAAATGCCACAAAATACAAGATCGCTCCACCGTATATCACATATATTCTCGGAAGATAAATTTCACAAACTCAATCAATCAATTTTTTATAACATTCCAAAAACAAATAATGCAAAATATCCTGTCGTTTATTGTAAAATCATCAATCAAGTTAAAAATTTGCTACTCAAAAATTTATTTTTATTTAACTCATTTTTATTAACTTCCCGAAGGAGAAGTTTATGTTGTCATCAAAAAATCCGAATGGCTAATTTTATGTTTTCTCGACGTTTCAAGCCATTCTGAATCGAATGAGACCAAATTTGGAAAAAGTATGTGTGTGTGTGTGTGTGTGTGTGTGTGTGTGTGTGTGTGTGTGTGTGTGTGTGAACAGATTTTTTGCCGTAAATCGACGTTTTCTCCAAAACGGCTGGAGCGATTTCAAAAATTTAAAAGCCATTTGATATATCTCGATGAGGACTATTGTCTCTGAGTTTTGTGCGGCGATCGGCCGGGCCGTTTCTTTGTAAATTGCAGAAAAGTGAAAAATTTTTCGCCCACGTTTTAGCCCGCAATTCTGAATCGATTCTGAAAATTCAAAATCCATTCGATAGATATTGGTTGGGAATCGTGCTGATTAGTTTTTGGTAAAGATCGGCCGGGCCGTTTTCTTGTAATAACGTTTTTAAAAAAAAAAATCGACGATTTTTATGATTTTTTTTTTGACGGTAGATACCATAGTTTTCTAGGTCATACTAAAATATTACGGCCCTACGACAACTCGTTTAGCTTTAAAAATTCGTCAAAGTTTGCAAAAATTGGTATAGTTTTTTTGACATTTGTCAAAATTAGACTTGTGATCAACGTTTTCTCAGAAGCGCCTGAACCGATTTAAGAAATTTAAAAGCCATTTGATGTATTTCGGGGAAGACTATCATTTGTCAGTTTTGTGCGACGATCAGCCAAGCCGTTTCTTTGTAATTTGAAAAAAAGTGTTAAACTTTTCGTCCACATTTAAGCTCATCCTACCGAACCGATTTTAAAAAATCAAAAACTGTTTGAAAGATATTAGTTGGGAATGATGCTGATCAGTTTTAGATGAAAATCTACCGAGCCGTTTTCTTGTAATTAACCGTTGAAAAAAAAATTTAAGCCGATTTTTATGGATTTTTTTTTAGCGATATATACCATGGTCTTATAGAACTTACTGAAATATTACGGCCTTAAGACAAATAGTTTGATTTTAAAAATTCATCAAAGTTTGAGAAAATGAGTAGCCCTTTTGACATTTGTTAAAATTAAAATTAGACTATTTACTTGGTATAATGATAGAGTACTTGGTCTTGAACATAATAAATCATTAAAGTCCTGAAAACTGGTTCAACTATAAAAATTATTGATTTTTGAAAATTTGCTTTTAGAAAATACTCCGAGTTCGTTCGTTTTCAATTATGTGTAATAAATCCACTCGGAATACTTTTAATGACTCATAAATTAATTTATTTTTTATTGATTAAGTCGATTATTTAAATATATCGGGAAGTTCATGTAACTTGCCTCAAGGATAAATACCAAACCAACTAGTTGTGTTTATATTATCAATCAGATTGATCAAACCATTTTTTCTTTGTTTAGTATAATTTACCAAGTGTATATACTAACCAACAGTGACTATCATGTTATGCATATGAACTGAATTTTTTTTTTGAAGGTGTGTTCTATTAGTCCCTATTCAAGTAATGGTTTAATCGGTCTCTCAACATCAAAATTAGTTTTAGATACTTCTAACCTATCACATGCACATAAAATATAACATTCAGGATTAAAATCTCAAACTACTATATTTGCTATTTTCTATTTCTCTCAACTTTGCGAAATAAGCCCTGAATACATGTGCCATCATATAATATGTATGATTGCCTCGCTCGTAATCATGTTCAGCTATCACAGAAACGCGAAGTTTCATTAAGCGACTAACAAAATTTCACATAGAGCGTTTTGGAAATAGCGATATGGAAATGGATTACATTTTTGATGTTTGAGATGGCAACGGATATGAATAATCAAAACTATGTATGTTAAATCCTGGTGATAGAAGATTTTGTATAAAGGTATTAATGGAATATATCAAAATAGATATTTAATCTATACTATATTTTTTAGAATATACTTGTTATACAAATTCATTCAACAGTTTTTAACAGCAAGAATTCTTTAAGTTTTACGAAATGAGTGCTCGAACAAAGTGAGGCAGTATCTCGGTAAGAATTATTTTAAGTAGTATAACAACAGATATTTTCATGATATTATATATATATAAACTCAACAGAAGTGAAAACGGTAAACTGATAAAATGCCTTTTCGAAAAAAATACAACAAAAGAGTCTTATAGAGCATGGAGTATAAAGTGATGATTGCTCTTAAATTATATAAAAAAAAGCTTCCAATTTTAACGCT